ACTTCTATACAACGAAAGGAGACTGCGACCACACAAAAGGCCACACCATCTTGGTCTTTATACCTTCGATGCGTAAGAACTTGTTTGACCTTGTTTTCGCAACTTGGTCATGTTGGTAGGAAGACTTAGAGGAACGCATCCAGTCCGGAGTACGTTGTCTGAATAAGCATTTCCAAAGTTGAACCGTGGACGTGGTACCTTTCCAAAACGTCTCGCCGGCATCGTCAGTGCGTCTCGGCATGCTTAGCACCATTTAACAACCCTTCAAAGAGACAAATGAAGGTGATCGATTGACCAAACGTGCGCTAAACAATTGTGGTATCTTCCCTTCTGCCCACAATTGTTTAGCACACGTTTGGTCAAAGGATCGGCTGCATTTGTCTCTTTGAAGAGTTGTTGAATGGTGCTAAGCATGGCGAGACTCACTGACGATGCCGGCGAAACGTTTGGGAATGTACCACGTCCACGGTCCGACCTTGGAAACGGTGATGCAGACTATGGACTCCGGACAAGCTGCGTTACTCTAAGTCTTCCTACCAACATGACCAAGTTGCGAAAACAGGGTCAAAACAACGAAAAGCCACACCATCTTGGTCTTCATACCAAAGGATGCATAAGTTGGCCTCACCGGAAGCCGAAGTGGGGCCGACTTGAGTCTGAGACTGTCGATTTGTGCGAATAAGGCCACGGTCCTGAGGAAACCATGCGGACCAGCATGCGTCATGACAATTCACCGAGAACGTGAGGAAAAAGTTAAGCCCCTTTTTGACCAGAAACAATGGACTGATTGCACCTCTCGACACGAAATGAAAGTCCCCACGGCACGGTTGGCGTTGTGGTGAGGTTGGTTTCTGCGGAAAACTCCCTTTACTCCCACAAACTAGGCTAGGTTCTGTAGTACAAAATGAACTAATCGGCCGCTAGAAGACTCTGCCGAGGTCACACCGACTTGTTCCGTTGCCAATGCAGAGGACGACGTTACGACGCTGTCACGATTGGTGACCTCAGGTCGAAGGTGAGGTGGACAACAGGTCCTATTGCAGGCGATTCCACGAGGTCGACTGCAGCTAGACCAGCAAACGCGGCGCCTCGAGGCAGTGGGTAGGTTTTGTTTAAACAGTGGAGTGGTGTCAATGCCAGCTTCTGATTGGTGCCACAGGCCGCGGTTTGATTGGTCCAAATGTAGGCTCGGTGCAGTGGCCAGATTTGATTGGTCCAGACCTGAGTGTTAGTCACATGTCCTGTTTGGAGGCAACGAAAAGCCGAGTTGACAATTAGCTTGCTTACAACTGCCAGCAGATCTGACACGAGAGCTGTACTCACCGAATTTCGCTTAAGCTAATGGGGTGGCATTTTT